CCCATCATGGGACCTTGGCTTCTGCATTTGTTCCTGCCACTGCTCCTTAGGCCTTTATCCTCCTGCCAGCATGGCAAAAGCTGTCTTCCTCATTTTAGGTTAACATCCACCCCCTGAATAATCCAGCCCCCCTCCTTCCCTAATCACATTACCTATAACTGGATATATGGGGAGTAATGAGGTATTGAAGAGAATTCTGTGCTTGTGTCTATAGCCTGAAGTGTGTAATTTTGTCTCTCTGCCTCAGTTTCTACAGCAGTAAAATAGGCATGATATTACTTAACTGCCTTTCCAAGTACTCGGTGGATAAGAAGCAGGGTGTAAAAAAGTCCATGGCACTACTGTGGACAGTTTGTGAGGAATTAAATGTCCGTGATTGGTATTACAGCTCCTCGAGAGACTGCTCTGCGTCCAGAGATCTGCCTCCGACTTGGTAGGAGCAGTTGGTGGGATTTTAAACAGACAGAGACATAAACACATTTTTACTGAATTTGTAGGTCCTGGCCTGCCTAATGTTCTTTGACACTGCACAGACATAGCCAGGAAACTAAAACATTTGTTGATGGATTTGGAGATTAAATAAATAGTGAAATATCTTCAGGATTTTAAAATACAGCACGGACTGCCTGTCCCACAGTAAACCAGCCCTCACCCAGCACTTCTTGAAATGTGAGTATTTATTTCTGCAAAAGCCAGCGCTGTGTTAGTTCACAGGGCCATTTTTTTAGGAGGTCAGAGCAGTCAGACATCTTCTGGGCATTGGTAAAAATACACCCAACAGCTCTGTGGCATCTTGCACAACTGACGGTCTGAAAGCCTTGACTGAAAGTTTATTGTTTGTTAATCTCCTTTTTTCAAATCCGTTTCGATCGTGCAGTCAGAAAGCCACATGGTAGATGAGAAAACACAAAATATAGCAAGCGTTCATCACAATTAAAATATAGCACCTGGTGAATATTAGCCCACTGAAACCAGAGCAAGGCAAGTGGTTTGTTCAGACAAATGTATCCCTGGAAATGGCAGCAGACTTGCAGGAGGATTTACTTGTCAGGAAGAGAAATGCAGTCTGGGACCCATGATGGTACCTTGCTTTAGGGTACCCAAAGCCTCTAGTTCTTGGGTGTCATAAGTACCACAGCATCACTTAAAGACAATGAGAAATGGGGTTATTCAACATCTCTGGAAGTCAAATCCAGTTTGGACACCAAGAACGGAGGAAAAAATTTTGATTGTTTTAACCTATTTTATAATGAGTGCTCAGAGTGCAGCCTGAGCAAGTCCAGACTTCTGATTGCTGTGTCACTTTGGATTTAAAGACTGACATCTCAGGTGGTCAGGATCCCATCCTGACCGCCACAGCCAGCATCACCCCAAGACTGCTGTTCCATCTACCTCTGCTAATGCATCGCCGCTGATTTCCCTAGAGCCAAGAAGGCAAAGTCTCACTTGTCAGAAATAAGGGGAATTACACCGATTATGTTGATGCCCGGAGCTCCTTTTCTTTTCAAGAATCCATTGCCTGTTGCATTAGCCGTAAATCTGGACCGTACCCTCTGTACAGTACTAGCTTTGTTTTTATATATTTTGTAGATAGAATCATAGAATCATAGAATCACTTTGGTTGGAAAAGACCTTTGAGATCATCGAGTCCAACCTTTAACCTAACCCTGCCATCCCACCACTAAACCATGTCCCTGAGCACCTCATCTATCCTTCTTTTAAATACCTCCAGGGATGGGGACTCGACCACCTCCCCGGGCAGCCCATTCCAGAGCCTGACAACCCTTTCAGTGAAGAAGTTTTTCCTAATGATCATCGAGTCCAACCTTTAACCTAACCCTGCCATCCCACCACTAAACCATGTCCCTAAGCACCTCATCTATCCTTCTTTTAAATACCTCCAGGGATGAGGACTCTACCACCTCCCTGGGCAGCCCATTCCAGAGCCTGACAACCCTTTCGGTGAAGAAGTTTTTCCTAATGTCTAGCCTAAACCTGCCCTGGCAGCTTCAAACCATTCCCCTCGTCCTATCATCTGTTACCAGGGAGAAGAGGCCGACCCCCACCTCCCTACAGCCTCCTTCCAGGTGGTTGTAGAGGGCGATCAGGTCTCCCCTCAGCCTCCTCCTGGGACAGTAGAAGTGAATTATCAAACCCATGGATGTTTTTCAGGGTTTGTGTGGTGGCGACAACAGTCTAGGGAAAGGATACCAAAAAAATTCTCCAAGTTGGTGTCATACGCGATCAGCCATGGTCTTGGCTGGTGGTGCAACGGAGGACCCGAGTCCTCCCCAGTGGTGTGTGCTCTGCAGTGTGGTCCTGCTCGGCTAGGCTGTGTGCTGGGCTGCTGTGGTTCCCCCAAGTCAGCCTCAGCAAGGGTGAGCCAGCAAACAGCTCCAGAGGCACAGAGGCACTGGGATGTGATTAACTCAAAGAAAAAAAAAAAAAGCATAAAGCATACTTTTTGGAGTATGAAAAAGTTTTGCTTAATTTTACAAAAAGTTGAATAATGTTTCTTTTTAGGGCTGTTTTGGTTCGGGTACCATGCAGAGGTCCTACAGCTGATCTGCTTTGCTCTCAAGATGCAACAGGGATTAACGTATAGCAGCAACAACAACTAGCATGGTCCAGAGCTTATTTGCTCATCTAAATAATAAACAGTGGAAGAAGTCTCTGTCTTTGGGAAGTGATTAAACCATCAGACTTCCTGTCCAAGCAATATTCTACTAAAACAGCCTGTCAGCATTTAAATTGGAGGATGCTGGCTACTGGAGGAAGTGTTGTTAGGATTAATATACGTAAGTATAGGTTTGGCTGATATTTATGCTGGCCACTAATAAAACCACTGCTGCTGGCTCCCTGTGGTGATGAGCTATGAGATGCCTTTCCCAAGCAAACCTCCACCCAACAGCAGCTCTCCTGGTACCTGACCCACCATTTCGGATCGTCTCCAAAGACTTGGAAGCTCATGGGCATTGACAAATAAAGTGACGCGGTTTTACTGAGCTTTTGCAGATGTTCGCTGATTCCATCTGAGAAACAGCGAGCTGTTCAAATCCTGCCCTGTGAATGTCCAGCTGCCTCAATGCTTGTTTGGATGGGAAGGGAGGCACCTTTGCTGGTCCCATTTCCCTGGTGACTCTAGTGAAGGGGAGCCATGGAATGTGATATAATGCCATGGGGGATGGCTGAAGATGTGTGCATGTTGTAATGGAAGAAGTGCACTTGTGCATGCGCTCAGTGCTCACAACGGAGCAAATCTGTTAAAAGATCACCAGTCGTGGGAGTTAGCACTGGCAGAAGCATCCCCTGATGCATGGTGCCTAGGCTGGGATAGGTTATTTGTAATCGGAATCTGGACACACCTAAAAACTAACTCCTTAGTTTGTGAGGATGGTTTTACATGGGTAGAGGGTAAAAAGGGGGTTCGGCGTTGAGCCCTCTTTCTTCCCCCTCCCCTTTCCCAGGCCTATGTGAGCTAGCTGGCTTCAGGTTAAGGCTCCTAAAACAAGCTGCAGAGAGCAGATGGGGCAACCCCACGCCATAGGCAGCCTCTGCTCAGGCTGACCTGCAGGTTCACACCGGCCGTGACCAAGTGCAGCCCAGGGATGGCAGCTTGGTTCACTTGGAGCCATCACTGTGGTGCCTCTCATGGGGGGTTCAAAGCCATGCCCCGAGGACACCGGGGCAACCAGTGGGATGAGGGGTACTTCTGGGTAATGAGTTCATGTTATTGGCTGCAGGCATCTTCTGGAACAAACAAATACTTAAAATAAACACGCCCATGCCTGCTTAACTCCAAAGAAGGCCATAAAATCTATTCCTGAAGTCTGCTGAAACCAGAGCATGATTTGAAGCTGGTTCAAAGTTTGCTGAAATTACTAAGAAGAGCCTTGCCCTTGTCTCCCTCTAAGCAACACACACAGTTTCTACAGGCTTTTAATCTGGCTTCTTCTGTATAACTTGGCTTCACACATGGAGACTTCTGAAGCACAGGAAAAGCAAAATACCAAGCAAATGGGAGTAGCAGAAAATGCCTTTTCCAAATGCAAACACCGATCAGTCAATCCAGCGTCTGGCATTAGCCAAATCTGTGAAGTTGATAAATATCATAATGGGTTTGTCCCCGCAGCGGCATAAATGTCTAGCCTCCCTTGTCTAAGGCTTATTAAGAAGGCAGACGAGCTGGATACTTGTTGGTTTACAGTGTCATTTCAACCTGGGCTCACCTATGGACTGGAATGAGTTACTATTCAAAGTGGCGTCCAGTTCTAGTGCCTTCACTGCGATGCTCAGTTTACTTAACCCAGTGTGGCCAGTCTCAGAAACACAGTTTATCAGAGCTGTTTCATTATACCTCAAGCTGCAAGCAGTTAGCGTAACTCTACAGAGAATCCAGTCGACCCAGCCCCAAACTTCTCTATACCACATAAAATACACACTGAGTAAAACAAAAGTTTTAGACAATCAATCATATGCCTCGAACTTTGCTAGACTAAGCAGTCAGAAGACATCGCACAAGTCAGCTAGGGATAACTAGTGCTACTGCAGTTTAAAACCCACCGTCTTTGCCCATTTTCCACAGGTTAGGGGTCTTTAGGCATCCTTTTCTCCAGGTAAGTTATAAATGACTCTTGTGCAGCTGCAGGGACAGCTTGAGGATGCAGCACAGCGAAAGCTGGCTGTACTTTCAAATGTAAAGCTCAAGGAAAGGGGATATAGCAGAGTGACCCTTAATTTGCATTTGCTTATTCCCCTCTTCTCTGTGTGAAGGGGAGTCTGAACCTGTGTTCAGCCACGGGAGACCCCACCACCATCCTCAAAACCTGCGTTTCTCCTCCCAGACCTCCCCTGCCCATGGCGTCTCCTCTGTCCCACCGCCTGTGGTAGGACCCAAAGCGGTTGGTAGGAACAGGACAGGACCCTGTGCAACTCCCTGGGGTGCTTCCCCTCTGCAGCACCAGGTTTTGAGGGGCTGGCCTGGTGTTTTGTAACCCTACCTGATAAACGGCTCTGGAAATGCACCATGGCTTCAGCATGAGCTGCAGGACCCTCAGGTTTCCAAAGCGGCAAGTCCTCAGAGCTCGGGACGTCAGGCTCCACACCAGGCTGTCCCAGCTGTAGAGCAGATCCTCAAAGCCAAAGAGCACAGCAGCCATGCCAGGTCCCTGGGTGAAACACCCCGGACTCCCTGCTCAGAGGCACTCAGCTATTCCCAAGGCGCCTTATGAACTGCAAGGTTAAAAAGTCACTGCAATTTCCATCAAAGAAGGAGAAGGAAAAGAAAAGAAAAAAAAACCAACAACCCAGACCACCAAACCAAACCCGACAACAAAAACCAGCAGCCAAAATAAACTGTTTGGGGATGTGTCTTTCTCCCTTCGCACACGCCCTTCAGGATGTGGTTTCTCCCTCCGTGTATCTTCTCAAAGCGAGTTCTGCTGCGCCCGGGGATGAGCAGAGAAGAGGTAAAAATACCTCTCCTGACATAGGAAGGCGATTGCACATCCCTCACAAAGGGCTTCTTGGTTACACTGCATCGCTTCCCAGCTCTCCGCTGCAGAACCAAGAAGCAAACTCGGATCCAAAGTCATCACTTTGCAAGCTCAGTCCTGGGACTCCATCCAGAGGGAGGAAAAAAGCCACTCGCTCTCCCTCTGCCAACATTCCCAAGACATTCCAGTATTGGGCTTAACTCTTTCAAACACTCCCGAAGAACAGCTGAGAAGACAGCTTTGCCACATGCAACATCTCATCCTTTTGTTTCGTGTGTTGACTAGCCATTGCACAGTTACACTCCGGGCTCTTTTCCACCCAACTGTCTGTTCTGGAACCTTTATGTGTTTTGGACTCAGAAGGGGACTTAATCTTTATGTGAGACTTAGGCAACAGCCTGCAAAGCACCTTATTTACCCAAGGGGCGATATCTTGGAAAGTTGCACAGATTAAACAATGCCCACTTAAAATCAGTCTGATTCAGCTGGTGTGGGCGTACTTTTAACCCTTGCTGAGCTTGCATTCATAAGGGTGGGTCTCATCTGAGCAAGCCCAGGAGAATGCAATACAGTTCTCTCCAGCTGAGCTGGAAGCCAACCACTTTTTTTAGTCTACGGACACAAAGCTCCACTTCTGGCGTCCCTTCCTAAAATAGGTGTTGAGAAGAGGTAAGTTCCCTATCCATGGCCCCCTAGAAGCAGCTTGTCTGCGTGGAGACTTCAGTGCTGTCAACATCTACGATGAGGTGGGCTGAGGGATCTGGTCCGATGAGCATGAAAATACATTATCGGCACAAGGATTTGGCAATTCAGTCAAACCACCACAAAATCATGCAGTTAAATTGCAACAGCTTTTCCAACTAAATCCCATGAGTGCCCCTTCTACCTATGGGCTAAAGTTTAATAACCAGGTGGGGAAACTGAGGGGGAAGTATTTTTACCAAAGGCACAGTGCAAACCAGTGCCCTTGGAGACAGCTGCCTGCCAGTGCTATTTTTCACTCATTTCACTCTCCCTTCAAAGGAATGTGCACAAAAAGGCAGCGGGACGTGAAAGGAGCTGATGGGAGTCAGCTGGGGAGTGCTTACATGGAGGCACTTCCGAGGAGGCACTTTTTGTAGGGGTAGACAGGACAACCCCACTTTGAGCTGAAATGATGAGGGACCTGCACTCATGAAGCCCCTAAAGCTGCTGGTTTAGCAGAGCTAAAAAGACATAATTTCCCCAAAGCCTCAATGTCTTCTCCGATTCAACTCCCTGGATGGGGAAGGAGCAGGAATATTCATCTGTGGTTGGTTTTCTGCAGGTCTGTCCCACCCTGACCCCATCCATAATTTGATCTTTGAGGACTGGAGGGCACCAAGTGAGCAGTGCGTCATGATAGCGGCACAAGGATGCTCATCAGCTCATTGAGAGGGCAGGTGGAGGGCCAGGAAAACACAGCTGCAAAATTCGTGTTCTCAGCCTAATTGCTTCTTCAGGACATCACTTTTAGAGTGCCATCATAAAATATGGTAATAAAACCATAATAATATTTCCTTCAAATGTCTTAGAAGCTATTCATTCTGCAAAGTGTAGTTTTCTTTCCTCCTCTCCCTGCCCCTGCCTATCCTTTTTCTTGGTGTCCAGCCTTTGCTGCTAGTCTCCCTATGCTCGTCGTCTCCTGTTGATTTTTTTGCCTGCCTGTAAACTAGGTAACACACTGCCTCCGTTAGCAGCGATGTAGACAGGGGACCAAGAACATCTCCATTATAAAGCCTCATTTGGAGGGAAGGTATTTTTTTTTATTTAACTTGACTAGACAATATTTGCTTCAGGCTACAGCCTGGAGTATAAGATCTCTGCTTGGGAGCACAAGAGAGGAAAAGAAAGAAATGTGTTTGATAAAGAAAAACAGAGGGGGGAAAAGAAACCATAGCAAGTGATTGCTCTGGGATGTGACCTAACCCCTTTGGTATTCTGCAAGGGGGAGAGGAGGGGAAATGGAGGATATGCCACAGTTTTAAAATTAGCTACTCCACATGTGCATCTAGGCTTTCCGTATGCTCGAAAGGAGCCTTTCGGCCCCCCGTCCCAACTCGGTAATTACTCAACAGATGAGGGCAGCTCTGAAGGAGCCTTTTCACTCAGCTGATGACATAATCAGACTTTCTGAAAACAGTTCCCCTATGTGTTTATTTAACTGACAGAGTGGAGCACTCTCCTTAGGAGTCACTTGAGTCTATAGGAGGCCCAGTGAGCATTTCAGTGTGTAGATATACCTTAATGATTAGAGCAGATTGTTTGGTTTCCTGCGGAGGTTTTCCT